CCGGAACCATATAAAAGATAGCATAGAGACCTACATACTCGTAGAGCACCCGACGTACATCAAAATTAAATTCAGGATACCAGCGCCTTCAACATAGATCTCGATACACGGTACAGTCAAGAAAACACGTGCACATCTATAGCTGCAAAGCTGGAGCCTGCACAGAAGCATCAAACATGGCTTACATTAAGGAACGTCGCAAGGTCATAACGTCACGAAGGGATTGCCCAATATAGCGTGGCCAATTACTGAATAACACCCATCGGAGGCTTTAGCTCAAGTTTATATCGAAGAACCCACATTGAACACGCAATATTTAATTGGAACCTCCCTTAGATGTCAAGAAGCAAGACCAGTAATTGGAAAACATGGGCGTAAAGTTCGGCTACCACTCAGTTGTCATGAAGACCGGAGCTGGTGGATGACCCTGCGACATATCTATCTTGATCAACACGTAAGAAATCCGGTCACACATGTCAATAGTCATGTTTCTCTTCCCGGTACTACCTAACCCAGATGATATATGTCAAATCAGTTTTCAGGCAAGGCAGGACCGACCAGTACTTACAAAATTGGGCTATAGTTCACCAAATACTTCCAAATCCTCAATATATCGACGATCGCTTTCCCATTGGTTGTGAAAAGGCATAAAATCGAGCTGGTTGCGCTCGAATAAACCCAGAATCAATTACGGGACAACTACATTCTGTTAGCACCACTCCATAGTGGTAGGTGCGTAGATGTCGGAGTGCAGGAAAACTAAAAGTGGGTTTGGATAGATGAATATCGCAAAACCAATGCCGAAGAGGAAACAACTTACAAGTGGTTAATAGAGTTAAACACTGAAACTTTTTTCAACGAGTTGGCCGGATGGTGTAGTTGGTTATCACGTATCGTTAACACCGATAAGGTCCTGGGATCGAGCCCCAGTCTGGTCATTCTTTTTTGTTTATCTTACCCCTTCCTCGGTTATCATTACCGCACCGATGTACTTCATTTCAGGTAGGGGGTCCTTACGAGGTTACTTCTTGTCTTTTATGATTTGGTGGACTTATTTTATTAAATAAGGGTCTGATGAAAACCATCAAAGAAGAACAATTTGCGGCATTGCTAGGACGACTATTTAGCTCAAACAAAATCTGGTACGTGCGATATAAGGAAACAAAACAGCGCAAATGGCGGACAAAGACTCAACGAATGTTGAACTCAAACAGGACATCTCCAGCCGTATTCTGGACATCCTCATTCATCAAGGAATCTTTCGAGATGGGATCTGTAATTGATGCCCACTTGCTCCAAATTATCTTTGTGGAGAGGATACATCACTCCCAAGGCAGGTTTACCAGAAGGCAAACCGTTCAGCCCCTCCAAGAATTTTTCAATGGGTTTATTATCGTTTCTATCCCTTGAAACAACTATCTTATACCAGATGTACCCTATGTATTCGTCTATCGCGCGGATATCCACGACTCGTTCCTCGATAGGCTTCTCCGTCTCTATTTTGTAGGCTTGCCTGAGGATCATGTGCTCCTCTTCGGTGATCCATTCAATCCCTAGATCCTTAGGCGTAGGGATAGCGGCGATGACGTATAATGCGATGATGACTGAGGGCACCATTTCCTCCCTCTTCTGGTACTGAGCTTGATCCTCCGCGTCGTTATCATCTCCTGTTGAGGGCCACAGATAATCAAGGCTCTGCTCCATGAGAAAGTTCGTCACAAGCAGTCTCACGATCTTATCGACTGTTTTGTTGATCATGGGGCTCCTAAGATCCTCGTTGAGACGCACTAGGCAGCCTTCGTCTGACGATGCCATCTTGACACGTGACTTGTTGGTGAATAGGGATGTGGGATGATCTGAGTACAAGGCAGAGGCAGAGGCAGAGGCAAATGTGCAGGATGAAAGCAGGTTGGAGTCAGGAGCTGCCACAAGCGATGGTTGTTGAGGGTTTTTATAATGAGGTGTTAGAAGGGGAACGATGGGGTGAAGTGAGCAAAAGCATGTGGCATAGGCAGATCGCGGGGGTTATGAAGGAAGTTGCCGTTATGAAGTGGCCTGCACTCGAGGTAGAATATCGATTCATTTTGGAGGAACCCGTTAATAGCCTCGCGACAAAGAACAAAAACAATGGATTAGAAGTAATTCAATCACAGCCACTCTCCGAAGGTGAGCATTTCAAGCAGGAAGATTAGTGAAAATATAACAACCGGCAAACCACCGATGCAATAACATCCAGTGGAATGCTAACTCCTGTCCCATAAAGGTATTCACGCCATTTGTCTCACCTGCTGATCTCTAGACTCCTGCCAATACAGTGATGATGCCCGTAAAAGATGAATCTGTATCGCATGAATACTAGTCTGTCAGACATAGAGAGCAGGAGAACACCCAGAGGTTACATGATTTATGTCGGCTTGTAGGTTAATCGCCATAAATTCATCTTATATAAGGGTGAAATTCCAGAACTTGGTATGGTAAGCTCGATGTAAAGAAGCTTCCAAGGCGCTAGAAGTATCTCGGAAAAGGTGTCAAATATTAGCTGCCTTGAACTTGAAGAGACCATCCTATAACATTGAATGCTGGGAGTGCAAAGCGTGTCGCTCCAAGCACTCACAGTTCTCTCCTTATCCTGGAAATTCTTTCATATGAATCTCCAGCTGAAGACCGGAGTAAGAGCTTCCAGAGATACCAAGATGATGCAGCTCTATTGCAGCGGAAGAGGGTGGCACAAGGACAGAGAGCAAAATGTGCTGTGGAACATAAGACTGAAAACCGAAGAATGAGGAGGATAGAAGAGGGTGTAAGTTGAGCCCGCGAATATCAGACTAGCGTGGTAGTTCACATGACCTTGGAGTGAAGACAGCAGTGGGTTGGAATTTACCACCACATTTACCTAGAAATGATCCCCAAAATTCCGACAAAACGGCCGAATGCACGGAGCAGTGAAGATGGCTGGCATCTGTCAACCAGCATCACCTAAACCTCCGGGGGAAACAAAGGCTGTCAATCAAATGAATACCAACCTTCGAATATCAACACGCCACATGCTCAGCTAAGTGTGATAACGTTCCCACGGAGTATTCCATTCACGACACCCGCCACGTACGACCATGCAGGCGAGATGGAACTATTGACTACCTAATGCACAAGCCAAATCCCTCATCCCACTCGGCGGTAAATCCACAGGCCATGTGGAATCGAGGAAGGACCCGAGTGCTCCGATGCAAGGCCATCAAATTTCGTCACGTCCGTCGGCTAAGAGTCCCACATGGTGGAAGGCTTGCTCGTGAATCCTTCCATGACAGCAAGCATACATGGCACAATCCCATCCAGTCCAGCCGAGACCATATCACACTTATCGACAGCCTTAGGCGGGGTAATGGAACCACGACCACGCCATTCTGGAAGCCCACCTCTCACAGATGGAGGGTTAGCGCTGTGCAGATGCAGGAAATCAATAGTTCCTGCAAGGTCTTATCAGGTGGGGGCCAGCTGAGCGTGTACTGTAGACTTCGGCTTTCTATGGCGCGTGATTTCCGGAGCGGGGTGGCCTGGTAGGCGCATGGGGTGTTGGCTGACAAGCCTGGATTGAATGAATGTGCGGGAAAGAGGGCGATTCTTTGCAGTCAATGTTGGTGCAGCGAGATGTTGGATATGTTGCTGTTGGAAGGGGTACTGCCGTTGGACCGATAGGGCTATCACGACCGTTGGTGAAAGTCCAGTTCAGCCTTGGGTTGGTATTGATGGGGTCCAAAAAGAAAGAAGTGATCCGGACTCTGGCTAGTAATATTAATCGACGCTAAATTAAATTGGTCCACCAGTCAGCTTCCAGTGTTAGCGTGTTCTGTGCTCAACCTGCATAAGGGCCATGCACGAGCCCATCACACGGCACGCCCGGCGCTTAAGGTTATTTATATCGCCAGACCCATTGGGTGCCGCCCCCTTGGATCCAAGCTGGATGGCAATGACTGGCCCTCGTCCTTCACAGAGCCGGGAGATTTACTATCCTTAGATTTCTCAAAATAGACAAAAAAGAGGGGTTGCTGCAGCACTAATTTGTGGAGCGTTGGTTGAGGGATTTGGCGTCTCTATTGCCGGGCTTCCCCTCCTTTGTTGTTGTCCTACTGGGACTGATGAAGATTTATTGTCCCACGATCTCCCCAATACAAGCTCCTTTCGGATTTCTCTCACGCACAACTTCCAGTAACTGGAGTTGAAGTGCTTTTGACTCTTACTTTTTTCCTTCTTTCTTCTGCTTATCTCTATTGCAGTGATCCTCTTTCACTTACCATAATGGGTGTCATGCGTTTACCTCGCCCAACCGGCGTGTATGTGCCGAACTCACCCACACGGAGCCTCAAGGGCGATATGATTTCCTCCCCCTTATCACCTGAATTCAACTTCGACTCGGAGACCTTGACTCCTTCCATCATCCCTGCCCTTGAATATGTTTCTTCCAAACTGGAGCAGAGGATGATGCACGTCACTTTGCTTGTTGGCCGCGGGAAGCCCTACCCAACTGGCCAGCCATCCGATCTCATCGTCATTCCCATAACCCCTCTGGATGAGACAGCATGGCGAATTGTGTTCCGCACGGTGGCCAAGGGAGCAAGCAAGTTCTCTCTAGGTCATAGCTGGACTGATGCCCTGAACCGCAGCCAGCACGAGCGCCAGGCCCATGACTACCTGATTCAACAATCGATTATGCAGAATGAAGTGATCTTCAGCAGGGAGGGTCTGACTCTGCTGAACGTGGACCGCATTTACACACTCAAGCGCCGGCTGTGCATCCTTTCTCATCGGGGAACACCGCCCGAAGAGTCGTACATCTCATCCTGCGCGCAACTCCTCTATCGTACCATCAATGACTTCCATGGTCGTCCCTTCAGCAAGGCCTTCTTCCACCGCGTCTATGAGCAGCTGAACGTGCCTGATGCGCTGTTAGCACAGGTGGCGGATGCCTTCAGAAAGCAATACAAGCAGGAAGGTATTATTATCCCACCTCCCGCGAAGGCAGATGTTGCACCTCCCGCCAAGACCAATATCCCACCCCGGGTGAAGGTGGAGCGTCCCCGGAAGTCACCACTACGTGCTATCCGGGCAGCTCGTCGCCAAAACCCTCCGCCAACAAGGTACAACTTGCCAACCAAGCGCGGTCCCAAGACACCACTGTCTGCATCTGATGTGACTCCCATCACTCGGAACGAATGGAACATGCTCCGTACGGACTTTCCTTTGGGCAAGACCACTGTTACCAAGTGGACACCATCACCTACTGTTATGGCTGCTGCGTGAACAGCATCATTGATTGCTTGACACCATGTCAGGCAAATACTATGCCACCAACACCACCGACACCTTCAGCACTACCATGATCATTGTCATGATCAATGGAGGCTCGAGCCCGAGCCATCTGCGCATCGGAGCAGTCTGAAGAAGTATCCGGAATCTAAAGGGTAAGAGCCTCTGCACGTTAGTATATTAGTACTGAACATGAGCTAATCGCCCGTGCAGGACCGTTCTCGGACTGGCAGGAACACTCCACCGTTGAGCGGAATCCCGCCAACAGGCATGGCTGGCTGAGTGGAGCTATCCGAGCGATGTCGGCAAACCGGCCAACTAGGCGCAGGGACCACCGCAAAGGCGGGTGGATTCCGGAGAGAAGAAACCACTGCGAGCACGAAAATATTCGGAAGGTTGAATGCTCACCCGCAAACGGATCTATCGTCCCGACCGATCCTGATGATATGGATGAGATCAGGTGAACCGAAATTGTCATCAAGAGCCGGCCCTCGCGGGGATCAGACGTGTACAATAGGCCTGCATGAAATGAAAACTGCTATCTTCACATGATTGAATTTTCAGTACGTAAAGTGAGGGGAAGTTGCACGGGGGTGTAGACTAGAAGATGAAGCCGAAGATGCAGCTGGTCGGCGTGCTCCGCCCTTCAGATGCGGGCACGTCACGTGGCTGTCGTTTCCAGAGCCGAATCAGACCAGAAGAATCAGGCTTGCATCCATCCATGTGAGCGTAGTCTCACAGAGATCATTAAATTATTGATATCTGCGGTGGTTCGTTTCTTATCCGTCTTTATTCAATAGACATAGAAGGGTGTATTGCATTGCATTCAACTTCTTCGAAGTAAGACACCCCGGGCGTCCCCGGTACCACACCAGCCGAGCAAGGAACTAACTGCTAGTCAACAACTCCAACAGGACCCTGTGGGACTGCAAGGAGGTCCACTGCAAGACTCGCCAAATGGGCTTTGCATAAGTAATCCTTCTCCTCTGGTCCTCAGTTCGTCAAACCGGATCCACTGCTCGGTTGGCATTGATAATTCGACCATCTAAATCTCTTATAGTTATCGCATGTGAGCCTTATCAGGTTTTCTTCCCCTCCCGCACCCAAAAAGCCTTGACATTCCCCACGGCACGCCTACCGACGGACAACAAATCTTATCCAGATAAATCGTCCTATTCAGCCACTCGACCCTATTTCAACTACGGACATCGGGAAGGATCTCTCAAAATCAATCATATCTAAGCAACTTCTTCTGGGAGTCCCTGTGGCTGTTATTCGTCAACCATGCGGGACTCGACCCCTCCCAGTCCTAACCCAAGCCATGCTTCGGAGGGAAATGGCCGTTCTGATGCTGTAGGCAGCAAATGGAATATCAAGAAGTTCGTCAAGCAGGCCGAGCGATCGCATCGTCGGTTGCCGGGACTGAAGAAGGTTCCTCTGCCTGCCATCGCCATTATTCTGTTCATTGCATTCATTAACGTTGTGGTGTGGATTGCCGCCGCAATTGTGTTGGTATGTATGACCCTTCTGATGATCATCTCGACTGTATATCTTCATCTCTAGGCTACGAGCTAATATTGTTTCCAGCGCTATTACCCGTATGTGATCTGAAGGCTATACTTATGGAGATAGTATCATCTGACTAAGTCATTCCAGGTCCCTGGTGTCTAATGCTGTACTTTCTTATACTCTCGGATTGAGACATGCTTTTGATGCGGACCATATCTCAGTAATTACCCCATATCCACTTTCGGAATACGTCCTAACAAATACCGTGTAGGCCATCGATCTGATGACGAGAAGATTACTGGCAACGGGCCAAAAGCCCGTCACCGTAGGCACCTTCTTCTCTCTTGGCCATTCTACGTGAGTTTCTTCCCCTAGACACACCCTTCCTCAAACTAAACTAACACCAACTCAGCATTGTCATCATTACCTCCATCGTAGTCGCAGCGACTGCTGCCGCTATCTCATCAAGATTCGACAGTTTCAGCACGATTGGCGGTATCATCGGCACTTCAGTCAGTGCCGCTTTCTTGATCCTACTGGGTCTTATGAATGCCTACATCTTGTTCAAATTATACAAGCAAATGCAGAAGGTCTTGGATCTACCCGAAGGCCAAGAAGATGAAGTCTGGAAGATCGAGGGTGGTGGTGTGCTGTTCTCAGTGCTTAAGCGCATGTTCAAGCTTATTGACAGGTAAGACTCCACATCACCTGTTGCCAAGTAAGAGTGCTAATCTCGCTCAGACCTTGGAAAATGTATCCGCTTGGAATCTTGTTCGGCCTTGGCTTTGACACATCTTCTGAGATTGCCCTTCTTGGCATCTCGTCTGTCGAGGCTGCCAAGGGCACTAACTTTTGGGTTATCCTGATCTTCCCCGTCCTATTCACGGGTAAGTTGCTAACTTGGCACACAAATCCTCTCCCTACTCTATCACTTTACTAAATCCATCCCAGCGGGAATGTGTCTCCTCGACACCACCGACGGAGCCCTAATGCTCTCCCTCTACGTCCAACCCTCCGCCAACTTCCTACCGCCAAAGAGCGACACTTCCTCTGACGCGCCCCTCATGGGTGAAGACACCGAGGTCGAGCCATCCAAGAACCACCGCGACCCAGTAGCATTCCTATACTACTCTATCGTCCTAACCTGCCTAACAGTCATGGTAGCCATCGTCATCGGCGTGATCCAACTGCTCACCCTCGTTCTGAACGTTGCTAACCCCACCGGCAAATTCTGGGATGGTGTGCAAGTAGCAGGAGATTACTACGACGCCATTGGCGGCGGTATCTGTGGTGTATTCATAATCGTCGGCGGCCTCAGTGTGGTTGTTTACAAGCCCTGGAGAAGGTGGATTGCCCGGAGACATGGAAAGACTATTGTCACTGATGTGGAGGGCTATCGGGATGAACCGCCCACTACTAATGCTCTTGAAACGCCGATACTTGATGAAGATAGAGAAGGTGCGACTACTGTTAATTATGGGGCTACGGGCAAGGGCGAAGCGTCTGTTACGGTGGAGCCGGTGGGAGGGGGCCCTGCGCGGTGATGTGGGGGGCTGTCGAGGAGAGGAAAGTGGTCTCTGCTGCGGTGATGGTCGGGTAGGGTGGCGAAGTGATAATGAGATATGAGTATGCCATTGTCATGCATTTTACGATTATACAACGGTGGATTTATTATGCTCTATAGTATGATAGAGATCAAAAGTTATTCGTTTTTGATAGCACTTAATATACGATTTCAAAGGAAATAACCAAGTCGAAAAGCCAAAGACAGAACACGTTCAATAGAATAGGTTTGCCCTCACTTGGGAATGACTAGAGACAGCCATATCAGCTCTCGTCTGTGATTAACTTCTAAACTAGCTATATCTCGAGATTTAAGAACATAAAGCCTAGCGATGTCTCGTGTGTATCTCGGACAACCAATACGCAGCCATCAAAACCAAGCTCAACCTCTTGCAATCAGACCTGTCGGCTCGCTATGTATCTACCATCGACTACCTAGGCACCATGGTATACCCATTATCCGAACATGAAGAAAAGCTCCGATAGCCACAACCCAGGAAGAAACACCACCATTGCTACTAGTACCCATCCTCGCCAGCCATAACCGGAAGCAACCGCGTTCGACTCAGGGACTGAACCAATCACACCGTGAAATCTAAACCTCTATCGGCTAGAACGGTACCACGACGCCTCTGGGTCACCCAGACAATCACCGACAGTAGTAACTACAAAAAAGGTTAGCCACCCAGGTTATCCATATACTGGAGAGAGAGATTTGGAAAATACCAGTCAACCCCCTCGACTTCGTCTCATCGAGCATCATCTTCGCCAGAGTAACCACCGTCTGTTCTTTAGTATCATGAGCCAAACAAAGATTACCGCCATTGTTGAGCTCAGTGACGAATTTGTCATAACTTTGACTAATCAGATCAGGGCTATTGTGGTTGTAGTCCTTAGTATCAATACTGGCTGTAACAACATGGTATCCGAGATCACTCATCACCTGCAGGGTCAAGTCGTTGACGTCGAAGTAGGGAGGCCGCATGTAGGTTGGAATATCGCCCATGGTACTTTGGAGCACGGATTCAAGGCTCGTCATTTCTTGGACGATTTGGTCGTAGCTTAACGTGGGGAGGCTGGTGTGGTCGTAGCTGTATTATGTAGCTGTTAGTTTTTGTGTGACTGGGTTGATTGATGTGTGGGGTGCATACGTATGGGAACCAACTTGATGTCCTTCTTGCCTTATACGCTGGATAATCTGGGGGTTTGATTGACTGGCTTCGCCTAGGACGAAAAAGGTAGCTCGGACTTTGTATTCGCTGAGAAGGTCAAGCAATTGGGGGGTGTATGAGGATGGACCGTCATCGAAGGTTAGGGCAACGGTGTTGGGGGTGGTGCATGTGGTGATGACCTGCCCGAATGGGATGTCCCTGCTGGTGATAGGGGCACATAATGCGCTGGGGCTGATTGTTGCAAGAGCGACCAATGCGAGGGATTTGAACATGGTGAAGGGTGATTCAGTGATGGAAGATAACAAACGATGTTGCTATAGTGCCCTCACGAACCAATGTCAGATGTGCTCAGCAGGAGGTGCCGGGAAGATTTGTTCTCAGAAGGTATCAGGTCTATGTGAGTGGACCAAAAACTTAAAAAATAATTTCTGTCTCTTGCTCGCGCCCCGGGTATATATCGTCCATGATGAAGGGCCCGAGCACTCCACCAAAGTGTTCTTCATGTTCCTGTTTTTCAAAAGACGGTCCGCTCCTTCGTAGCCCATATTGGAATGGGTGTATAGTCAATTGCTCAACCCCATCCCCCGGCATAAGAAGCCCCCCATACACCTAGCTTAATGCTTGTCTAGTCATAGACATTATGGACAAACTTTAGAATGGATCCAGGGGTGTGGGAAGTCAAACGATAAGTTGGGTTGTCACAACCGATTGTTGTACTGCCAACCGAGGGTTATTTGTCGCGACCCCTAGCAAAAGTTCAATGAGGCTGACTTGGTCTGAGTCGTGTTCAAAAGATAGCTAGGCACGACATTTCAAGGTTACACTGACAGTCAAGTTGCTGGGGTTCCAGAACTCCTTGTATAGTTATACATAGAAATTGTCGGATGATCTGGCATCGGTTACTTGCCTATGTTCTTCCATTTCCACTCTAGATACCATAGTAAACATCTGTACAGTAATCGATGAAAGGATCCTAGACAAGTCATGTACGGACTGAAGCCCAAGTATTCCATGGTAAAAAGAACCCCTGTAGCACGCAGTTTGGAGGTCTGTGCCTGGTTGAATTTTCAAGCGCAAGTGAGTCCCGCCATCCTCGTCTGTTGATGGTTTCCCGGGCTGCCAGATTAACCGCATAGCTCGCAGATACTCTAGCATCCATGATCCGAAAATGGAGAAATCCTCCGACGTCATGAGACCATGATTGCCTAGGGCATGCAAGTGGCTAGATCAAAATGTCTCTTGACATGTAGGTATACCAACGACACGAACGAAATGACGCAGGATATCTGTGCCCCTTAGCAACCGCGTGAGACAACTGTGCTGCTTCTTCTGACATAAATCCGGGCAGAAAAGCTTATGCGTAAGACTCCTCACATATGTGTCTCTAAATATGCATCTGGAGAGGTCTCGGTGAAGAAAATTGAAGTTATTTCATCCACTGACTGTGTTCAGATGGCTAGAGTTGTGTGTATATAGCGACATCCCAAACGGGTAACCTATGCCTTTTATGCCTCAGGCACAAACGGAGATACGAAGGTGACGTCAGCCATCACGACGCAAGATTCGCTCTTCATTCTTCCTTTTGCTTTAGACAAGAGCGCACCAAACACAGCAAGCACGATGCTCTACCCTCATTATTGACACCATCCTGGTACTCTCGTATTCGATTTCTACAACGACCGATCGGAGTGTCTTCTTAGCTTGAGAGTCGTCGTTCTATGCAACCATCCAGCCTGTCTTCGGCCACGAGACACATCTAGCGCTGTCGCAAGCTAGACGCCCCGATGATTTCCCATAAAATCACAATCGCATATTCAGGGATCTATATATATGAAATAATCTGGAAGTGATCTGTACAGTGGCCTCACGTTGTGGTTTCTTACACTTCCTTTATATAGCAACTCTCGTTGGACCCAACCACAATGAATATATAGCTTGGTCATGTCCGAAACTACAGCAAGTTCTCCTGCACAGGATGACGATCCAGGGGAATCTGGTCCCAGCTTTTTAAACTGCCCGCCTATCTTTGTGCTTCCGACCCATCTCAGTCTGGAATCGCTTCACGGCATAGAAGAGAAGCTGGTTAAGCGAGAAGCACCTCTGACCTACGACATATCCGAAGCCAGACTGGTACTTGGGAGAATCGGACAAGGCAAACGAGCGGCTTTAGAACTACGATCTCGAGGATTATGGACCGAACCTATCAATAAACCCGAGCCCCCCAGGAAGCGGCGTCGTGTCAATGCAGCTGAGTCGAAAAAGCCCGCAGACCAGGCCGACATTATCGACCTCAGCACGGAGACAGAAGACGAAGAAGATGGGATGAAAAGTCGGCATGACCCCTCGCGGCATCTCCATCGGACGCAGACTGATTCCCCCGCCGCGGAATCTACTATTTCCAATCCGTCTGACGCGTCTTCTGTGTCATCCTCCGTTGCACAAGCAGACACTATCAGCGTCGTCAAACTAGACTGGCTGGACCAATGTCTCAAGACGCAAGAGCTCCTTCCTACCGATCCATATACGATTTACATCGCCCGACGGGCTCCACGTCCCGCAGAGCCCCCGAAACCAACCTCCCTAGGGAGCGATATTCTCCAACGAGCTAGGCAAGATGCCGCATTACGACCGCCACCAAAGCCACCGACCGTATATCATCATCCGCGTACTCACGATTCGACTCACAACCCGCCCAAATTATATCGAACTACCACCTCGGAGAACGAGGAAACCGAGTCCCTTCCCCCAGCCCCAGACTGGGTGAAGGAGCACGTCCTCTACGCCTGCCTGCGCTCCGCACCCCTTCACCCTCCAAACGAAGGCTTCATCAACCAGCTGATCAAAATCCGACAAATTCGCGAATTAACACTCGACGAAATCGGCGTCCGCGCCTACAGCACCTCTATCGCGGCAATCGCAGCCTATCCACACGAATTCCGCCGCCCCTCCGAGGTCCTCACCCTCCCAGGCTGCGACACCAAAATCGCCAACCTCTTCTACGAATACCAAGAAAGCCCAACGGGCACCCTCTCAGCCGCATCTCTCCTAGACACCGACCCGACCCTCCGCATCCTCAACACCTTCTACAACATCTGGGGCGTCGGCGCCAAAACCGCCCGCGAACTCTACTACTACCGCCACTGGACGGACCTCGACGACATCATCGAACACGGCTGGAGCAGCCTCACGCGCGTCCAACAAATCGGAGTAAAATACTACGACGAGTTTCTAATCGGAATCCCCCGCCCCGAAGTCGAACAAATCGCCACAACAGTAACCCAACACGCCAATCTCGTCCGCCCAACCTCCTTCGACAACGAAGAAAAGGGCATCCAATGCATAATCGTAGGTGGTTACCGTCGTGGAAAACCCCTCTGCGGCGACGTCGACCTCATCCTCACCCACCCGGTCGAATCTCTAACCAAGAACCTGGTCCTCGACGTAGTCGCCAGCCTCGAATCCTCCGGCTGGATCACCCACACCCTAGCCCTCCACTTAATGACCTCTAACCGCGACCAACAAACCCTCCCCTACCGGGCAAGTAATGCCGACAGCACGGGGAAGAACTTCGATACATTAGATAAAGCCCTCGTCGTATGGCAGGATCCTCACTTCGACGACGCTGATACCCCTCAGAACCAATCAGAAACCCCAGAAGAAGAACATTACACAAGAAGTAAACGAAACCCAAACCCTCACCGCAGAGTAGACATCATTATTTCCCCCTGGCGAACAGTCGGGTGTGCCGTGCTCGGCTGGTCAGGCGATAAGACCTTCGAGCGGGATCTACGGCGGTATGTGAAGAAGGCGCATGGGTGGAAGTTCGATTCGAGTGGGGTTAGGGAAAGGACGTCGGGGGGTCAGGTTGTTGATCTTGAGGGCGACGGGGAGACGTGGGAGGAGAGGGAAAGGTTGGTTATGGAGGGGCTGGGGGTCGGGTGGAGGAGGCCGGAGGAGAGGTGTACCCGGTGATGCCAGTTTATTTTTATTTATTTTTTTGCTTTTTGGTTGAGCTGTTGGCCCTGGTTTATTCTTTTGAATAGTACACGTGGTTGGTGTGGTAAAGTGACGTATAATTGAGTTCTGAATCGTGGTATCGTTCACTAGCAAGTAGTATGTATGTAGCTGGAGATCTGTCGGGATGACTATATCTGCGTACTAGTAGAACGCTAAGTAAGAAGGGTAGAACGGCCACTTAGATAACCACCAGCATTGTTTCACGCTGTCTCATTGAAGTAGTTGGTAAGGTAGGTAGGCAGGTAGGTAAAATAAAGGGAGAGAGGAAGGACACAAAAGGACCAAGCCACATCCATCCATTCCAAAAAGAGATGAAAAAGGAGACTTCATTTCATCGCCAGAAAATGCAACTAATACATGGAGACTCATGCAATGAGACGAGACGGGGACACTTCAAAGAATTACAGAGAAGCGAAAGAAAGGAAGGGAAAAAAGAAAAAAAAGAAAAATACAAAAGACACAAATAAAGAGCTTCCATCGATCAATCAATCAGGTTAAGTCAATCAAGTCATCATTACACCAGAGCCCTGGAGCTGGTCATTTCACCATAGCGCCCTCTGCCCCGGGTAGTATCGTAAGCATTCACCACTCTCATCTGTCCACCTTCGTCGGCCTGACTGAATGCGTAGCCGCGCTGTTTCCGCATACGTTGGACTTGACGGACTTTGCGGATCGCCTTCTGGAACTGTTCCATGCGTGGGCGGTAGTCCTGGACGTTGTATTTCTGGATTTCCTGCACGTGGTGGTAGTGTTGCGGGTAGTACATGCGCTTGGCGTACTTCCAGGCGTAGTCGCGGAGTAGGCAGATGCAGGGGAGGATGACGGCCATTAGGTAGAAGACGGGGTCTTTGAAGAGACGAGGGATCGTGCCATAGTATTCTTGTGAGAAGCCGATGGCTGGTGCTGCGTAACCGTAGGCCGGGAGGAAGATGAGCCATAGTAGCATCGAGCCTGGAATGGCGATGAACGTGTATTTGGTCCAAATATTAGTGATCAAGGCTGCTTTGCCAAGCACTGTGGCTAGAGCCGCGGTGTAGGTTGCTTCGGCCCAGACCCAGTGACCGGAGGTTTTGCCGTCTCCTGTGGGACCGTCCCAGAGGAAGAATAGTTCCGAGACGACGTACAGCAGGAGGGAGTGGTAGAAGCCGTTTAGTACCCACGACCAGAAACTGTGTCTTCTAAAGAACATGCCCTTTTGTCCGAGTTGATACAGTTGGGGATAGCGGTCCAGCAGTCGAGCGGAGATGTATTGGTC